AACGTAGTGGGGGTACAATTTTCCCATGAGACTGGGTTGTTTGTTTTTTAACCCCTCTTTTCAAGCCCTCCTCCACCTCCTCTGTCTGTTGTTTTTTTAATATCCACCCTTGATTTAGGGGTGATTTGCCATGATTAAAAGGTCTATAGATTTTAATTTTTTTTGCTGTTCAGTACTCTTTATGTACACTTTTATTTTGTTTACATACGATTATTTCTGTTAGCAGATTTTCTTATTAGGATATTCTTCAACCTTAAAGTTTTTTCTTATTTTTCTTTTTTTTTTTTTTGATTGATTCTTGTTGGCTGTCAGTTGCACTTACAATAGTAGGCAATGTCTCAACTTTGCTTCTTTCCCAAACTGTAAAGACGTTACAACACTGATAGAGTTGCAAAGTATTTCCACTTCTAATTGGGCCATATCATAGGCCTACAGAGAAAAAATTGCACAGATAGTTCTTAGTGCTTCTGTTCATAATTAACAATATAATATACACTGCTAAAATATACACATTTTTTTTTTAAAGATTTCTGTACATAACCTTACAGTGTGTCATATCTTATAGGCGACGGGTGTTGAATATATCCACTGGCATAGAGACCTTGGGAAATATACGATGGGATCTTTCTCTGTGCCTTCTTCTGTCCTGGATTATCTGCTACTTCTGTGTTTGGAAAGGAGTTAGATCCACTGGGAAAGTAAGAGAGTAATTGGGATAAATTTAACAAGTGCCTTAGCTAAAATTTAGTGATGTAAACAGGCTGTTTTGTTACACATTTTAATTTGTATTTACCTATTCACACAAACAAACAGCTTATATTTGAAACATTATAGGGTTTGAATTCAAGTTATAGAGTGTCCTCTTTTTCCATGGATTTTTTTTTTCTTTTTTTAGCTGTTTAAAAAGTAAAATGAGATTACTATAAAAGATGTATTGAAGACAATCAGCAGCCAAAGAGAAAAAGTAAATGAAACAATTTCTTAAAATTAAGCCCTAATACAAATCCAGGTTAGACAGAATGCCCTTAAAAAAACTGGAACTGTTTGTGCTACTGTCTAACTTTTGAGGAATGTTTTCTTTAATTAGTTTTATAATCTTTTTAACTTATGGAGGACCAGCTCTACCATATTTAAAAATAAATACAGAAATAAATAAATACTCAATAAATAAATAAGAAAACAATATACAAAAAATAAATGTAGGTAGAAATTAAATTATACAGTAAGACATAAATGTATATATCTCTTTTAATTAGCTTCTTTATTTATTTGCCTTTGTAATAATTACATTATTTATTTATTGTCCGTTATAATCTTCAACTGTATTCATTAATTATTTGTTATTTAAGTATTTATTTATGTGCATGTTATAATATTTTTGTCTGTTTTATTCTTCCTTTGTATTTTTTTACCCTATTTATTTCTTCAATGCTATTTATTTCCATTTAGAATTAACAAGAATAAAACAGACAAAAATATTAGAACATGAACATTTATTAGTTTATTGTATATTTTCTGCAATTAATTGTGTGCTTATTTATTTATTGAGCATTTATTCATTTCTGTATTTATTTTTAAATATGGTATAGCTGGTCCTCCATGCTGGTCCTCCATATAAATTAAACGTATTGCCAATATTGCTGTGCGCTCCGTTTACATGAAGGAAATTATATAATTATTGCAAAAGTTAAACAAATCCAAATGTAAAAAAAAAAAAAAAAAACATCTGATGAAAATACAGCTGTAGTTGAGACAATAGAGGTGCTTTTTAGGTTCATGCTATATTCCCACTGTATAAAAAAAGATGAATAAATTAATTGGTGCTTGATTTTAGTTAAAATGATTTTTAAGCTGCCAATTTCACTTAAGGATGCTTCATTTTCATTTTGTGTCTGGAAAATTTATTAGCATATTTACAATTATTTTTTTCTCCATTTCATGCAGGCAACATACTTCACGGCCACATTGCCCCTCTTATTGTTAGTATTACTCTTTCTGCGGGGCATTACTCTTCCTGGAGCCTTGCATGGTATAAAGTACTATCTGTACCCCAATCCCAGTCGACTCGGTGACCCACAGGTACCATTACAATTAGTCCACTTAAAAAAATATATCCATTAAATGTATTAATGTTTATTTGAAAAAACTTGCTTTTCCTCTTTTAAAGGTCTGGATAGATGCTGGAACACAAATATTCTATTCATTTGCTCTATGCTTGGGTTTTTTGACTACTCTTGGAAGCTACAACAAGTATAACAATGACTGTTACAGGTGAGTGAATATCTTTGCAGAGTTTTTCTGATGCTGATTTTTGTCAGCTAGAAAGAAAGCTTATTTTCATTGCACCATCAGACAGACTCGTCAGATAACTAAAATTGCTTCCCATAAAAAAATCGGACTGTACCCAAAAACTGGACTGTTACATTAGTTTCTCTCTGTTGCTCTTTGGTATCAATGTGTCTATGCATGGTTGTTTGTCCTATGTGTCTCTGTGTTTCCCTGTGATGGAGCGGCGAACTGTCCAAGGTGTACCTCATGTTTTATCAATTGACCTCACAATGCTGCATGCTGCAAGGTGAACTGGAATAGAGGATAAATGGAGGAACAACGTTTCCTGTGATGGAATGGTGACCTGTCAATGGTGTAACCCACCTCTCGCACCCATCTCTTCCTAGCACTTTTTGAATCTTTTTTCAGTTGAATTGATTTCCAGTTAGAATAATGTTTCTCGCTGTAGTCAAGTTCAGTGGTACTTATATGAACTAATATAAAATTTTCACATCCAGGTTAATATATTTCTGACCAAATTCTGATTTATTATTATGCATGCATTACAATAAGCCATATATTGTATTATCTCTTGTAATACGATTGCCAAACTGTTAGTAATTCATGTGCACGTCTTAAAGATAAAACACTGATGTAAGTTTCTGCTTGTGTCTTGTTCATGGTAGAGACTCTTTTTACCTTTGCCTGGTGAACAGTGGAACCAGTTTCTTGTCAGGATTAGCTGTTTTCTCAATTCTTGGCTACATGTCACAAAAGCAGGGTGTTGATATTTCCACTGTTGCTGAATCAGGTACTTTTCCAAATCTGCTTATTTCAAGTACTACCTTAATATTAATAATATAAGTGAAAATGGAAATTAAATTAATTTTTTCTTGTACATTTCATTTTACAGGTCCTGGACTTGTCTTCATAGTCTACCCTCAAGCGGTAACCCTTCTACCGTTGCCTCAGTTCTGGTCCATGTGCTTTTTTTCCATGATCATTTTGTTAGGAGTTGACAGTCAGGTAGAATATAAATCCTAAATCTATTAGAAATGTCCAGTGTCCCATAATATGTTCTCAATGTAACTTATCTCTGTGTGACTCTTTTTTCAGTTTGCTGGTTTGGAAAGTATTGTTACCTCATTATCTGATATATGTCCTTCCGAGATCAGGAAAGGATACCGCAGAGAGCTTTTACTATTGATGATCTGTTCCTGTAGCTTTATTTTTGGCCTTTTTTTTGTGTCAGAGGTGAGTTTAAGGAAACAATTGTTACTTATTTCTAAATTAATCAGGTGCATATTCTGCGAATTTGGTTCTCCTAAATACTAATTACTTCGCAGTTTTTATACACATTTCTGACCAAGGAAGCCTGGGTATGTAATAATTGATAATAAACATTCTGATTTCAGGCCGGCATTTACATTCTGCAGATCTTTGATCACTATGTGTGCAGCGGTCCGACACTTCTTATGATGGCAATCTGCCAATCAGTGATTATTGGATGGATTTATGGTGAGAGAAAGCTGTCTTTGGAACGATGCATGTTTGTGTTTATTTATATTTTTACCATCCAGTATACAACAGTGCTCTTAAGTAATGTGTTTGTAACATGTTAGTCATGACTATTCTTTAAACAGATTAGTTATTTTTTTAGTTACATGAATAAGGACTATAGTTTGTTAAGCGCATGTGTCTGCAATGTGCACATGTAAGCACATGTGGCGCATGCAGCAGCTATGGCAACTTTAGCATTGAACACAGAAGAGAGAAGATGGCGCAGTGGTTACAAGAAAAAAAAACAGTTTTATCATAGAAATATGAGAGCCTAAAGCTGCATTTGGGATTTTTTTAATGAACTGTTGTCTTAGCCTGAAAATTTGAACAAGCCCTCCTTCCAGGTCCATCACCCTTAGTGTCTCTCATTCCTTATTCCAGGCTAGTAAGCAAAGTTACATTTACTAGTGTGACCAACATTAATATATGCTTTACAGTGACACGCAGACACACCGCACTGACAATCTTGAGCTTGAATATCAGCATGTAATCAGTAGGGGTGGGGTATGAGCTGAATGTACACAGGTGTGATTGGCACTGTAAAGACATTGGTTCTTTCCTGTCCTGGTTATTTTTGTCTTGCAAAAGGCAGTAGGACCACTGGAAGGAAGCAGCGGACTGTCAGGTTTAGACAGTTTTAGCAGTTATGCAAAACATCTTTTTTTTTTTTTTTACATATTGTGCTTTTAATGTATTAAGGACCACACAATGAAGTTGAAAATAACGTTATGACAAATAATCAGGCTTACTTTAGGTTGGAGTGTTATGCTTAGGTATGAGAATGATGAATGTCTTAACACACTTTTATTGTCATCTTTGTTAAAGATGTCTACAAAGCCTTCAATTCATTCAACATTTTTATTTAGCCATTTTTCAGAGATATGACAGATAACTCAATCAAAATTTTCACTCACTCACTCAAAAGTTTTCATATTCTAGTTCTTATAGTGTATTGTACCTTTAGCATCATTGGTAGCTTAGTTTTTTGTGGATGATGGGCTTAACTTTCTCTTATGGTAAAGCCGCCTATTCTCCTTGGCAAAAAGCCTTAATTTAATTTGATTCCCTAGGTTGTCTTTCTTGAACTGCACCTCTACAATCTATAATGTAGCCAATGACAGGTCAAGTTGACTTTGTGTTCTGAATCATTGTCCATGCTGTTCCTTTAGACCTAATTTTTTGTGCCTTTAAAGCTCACACATATCCCCACAATATCAGCATTTCCCATCTGTGTTTAACAGTGGTGTGCAGTGATGGTGTACCTTTAATTTTTGTTGTTTGATCTGAGTGTTATGTAGTTTCAACAGAATCTCCTTAATTGTCCACTTCTTTAATAGAGTTTGCACGTGGCTGATTGGCATTGTTGCTTACATTTTGTATCTGTTTCGTGTGGTTTACAGTGTTTTTTTTTTCCCTGGCAGATCTTTTTTAAATATTTTGCTGTCACTGGATAGAAGATGTAAGGACCTTTCAAGAGCCTTGAAACTCATAAACATTTTACTTACAACAAACAGATCACTTGAGGATGGTTTCCTCTATCAGCCATTGAAACCACTTATGTCAACTTGTGTGCATGTTGTCAGGCAATGTAAACTTTTGAATAGACTCATTTAAGTAGTGAACAGTGAACAGTTGTTTGAGGATAAATGCCTTCACACAACCAGTAACCATATGTGAAAAAGAAGCTTTTGTGTTATGATTTAAATATTCTAAGAATGTAAAACATTTCTAACAAATACGTAAAACATTCTACCATCTTTATACCATATTTATGGTCAATGTTATCAGTACATTGAAACCTGTTACTGCATGTTTTCTTCATAATTTTGAAATTGACTAGAGTAAAAAATATTGGAGTACCATTTACTTTAAAAAAATTATGTAACTTTTTCCACATAGAAATTCTTTGTAAATTTCACTCAGTAAAATCTAAGTAGATTTTACCAACTAAGGAGTAGAGTTTTTTTGTTTTGTTTGTTTGTTTGTTTTTTTGAGTATAAAGTTGAATTATTATGGGAATAAAGTCATAAAATTACGAGAATAAAGTTGTAAAATTACAAGAATAAAGTCGCAATGAGAATAGTCGTGAACTTGCGAAAATAAAGTCGTATAATTACGAGAATAAACTTGTAACATTATGAGAATAAAGTCGTAATATTATGAGAACACAGTCCTAATATAATAAGAATAAAGTCATAATATTATGAGAACACAGTCCATATATAATGAGAATAAAGTCATAATATTATGAGAACACAGTCCTGATATAATGAGAATAAAGTCATAATATTATGAGAACACAGTCCTAATATAATGAGATTAAATTCATAATATTATGAGAACATAGTCCTAATATAATGAGAATAAAGTAGTATTTTTATGAGAATAAAGTCGTAATATTATGAGAATAAAGTTGTATTTTATGACAACTCTTACAAGAAGCACTTTCTTCCCTAAAATGAGGAATTTCGAGCATCATGTGAAGTTATACTTTGGCTTCGGTTTGACAAATAAGGAAATCTTTAGCACACCAGCATCAAATTGTGCAGTATGTCAAAGTGGACTCAGATTGCTGTTTGGTGGTGCTGGTCGGCCGCCATATGCTAGTCGAAGATCAAAGCTTTCTTTCTGAAATTGGGTGTGGCATGATGACTTCATTCTCGTTATTTTTCATATTTATTCTCATAATATTAAGACTTCATTCTCGTAATGTTACAACTTTATTCTCGTAATAAACTGACTAAAAAATACTCCGTCATAATTTCTGACCTAAACATGGTCCTAATATACAAGTACTTGCATCAGCTAAGGCCGTAACTTATCATAATTGTTTCTTTAATACTATTTGATGAGAGGAATTATATGTATTTATATTTTGATGCATATAGATTTACAAATTAAATCAAAGTAACACATTAAATAAAATCTGTTATTTTGGGGTAAAAGTACTTCACATGGCACTTTGCAGCAAATTTTACATTAAAACCGAGCTACTATTAACAGAGCAAAAAAGTCCCTTTTTTTAGTGTACAGGTTCTTATACCCATATCCACAGTCAGAGTAATAAGTGAAACATTTTAAAAAATTTAAAGACAGGCCACTTTTTTTCAAACATATTAAAAATGTGAATCCATTCTAAATTTATAAAAAGTCTCCTGACTGTTGAGAATTCTATTAACAAGTTAAACTACTTTAGATTTTGAGACTTCTGTGTTTCAGGAATGTTTGCGTGTGGCTAAAAGGCTAACATTTCTGATGGCTCCCCATCTCAGTCGTCACGTATATCCAGCCGATAGTCAAACCTTCAACCAAAAAAAAGTGGAGTCCTCTCTTCAGGTCGGTGGAGAGTCCTTGTCTCAAGTTGAGAAGTTGAAGTATCTCGTGGTCTTGTTCACGACTGAGGGACGGATGGATCAATAGACAGATCGGTGCGGCGTCGGCATTGATGCAGCTGCTGCATCAGACTGTTGTGGTGAAGAGGGAGCTGAGCCGGGGGCAAAGCGTGCGATTTACGGATCGATTTATGAATCGATCTACATTCCTACCCTTACCTATAGTCATGCGATCTGGGTAATGACAAATACAAGAGGCTGAAATGAGTTTCCTGCGCAGGGTGGCTGGGCACACCCTTCAAGATCGGGTGAGGAGCTCAGTTACCCGGGAGGAGTTCGGAGTAGAGTCGTTGCTCCTCCACGTCGAAAGGAGCCAGTGAGGTGGCTCGGGCATCTGTTCTGGATGCCTCCTGGTCACCTCACTTGGAGGACACGCTGGAGGGACTATGTCTCTGAGCTGGCCTGGTGTCGCCTTGGGTTCCCCCCAGATCAGCTGGAGGAATCTCTGCTTAGACTGTTGCCTCTGTGACCCTGCCCCTAATACAACTCAAGAAAATGTATGGATATATGGATAAAAGGCTGACGTCACACCGCTGAATTCTGTGTATTGAATTCATGAATAGAATTTTTTTTCACTTTCTCCTGAACTAGTCAAGCCATTGTCATGTCACATTCACTGTTTCAGACCAGAGAATTCTGGTGTTTGTTTTTTTTTTTTTTTATTACTTTTGAGACCTTCTTTTACTTTCAAATGTGTCTGCTTGATCAAAAACACAGATTTTTATGGTTTTAGAAACTCAGAACTCATTTTACTGCTACTTTACATGGACTTCAAACTGTGAAAATTAAAGCTAGATGGAAGCCTATAGAGTATTTCCACTATACAAGTTAAGGGGATGATTAAACTGATAAAATAGACAAAACTTATCAAAGGGAGAGAACAGAGGTATATTTCAAGTGTAAATGTATATTTTATTTCAAAGCCTTTTACATATTTACTATGGAGGGTGTACAGTATTTACACATCCTTGAACCAGCAACTAAAAATTAGTTATCCCTTTTACTCATTGGTAAAGCAGTGTTTTTGTCCTAGGAGCTGGACGCTTCTCTGACAACATTGAAGACATGATTGGGTACAAACCTCTTCCACTGATCAAGTACTGCTGGATGTATGCTATCCCTCTTTTGAGCTTTGTAAGTCTTTTAAGCTCTCTAGACACTCATAAAAAGTCAAACTTTGATCCCACAGTGTTCTTTTCTTTTTATGTGGTTTGCTTTAAAGGGATCCTTGGTGTATTTGCTCCTGAGATACACCCCAATGAGGTTCAACAACTCGTATGTGTATCCTTGGTGGGCTTACTGTATTGGCTGGTTTTTGTCCATGTCTTCGTTGTCTATGATCCCACTCAACATGGTGTGGAAACTAGCCAAAGGAAAAGGAACTATTTGGGAGGTCAGTGCTTGATATTGCACATTTTTAGCATACATTTAAGTTAAACATTTTCATAACTTTTTTGTTTCTGCACAACTTTTCCAGCGCCTCAAGACAAGCTTCCAGCCTGCAGATGATCTCCCAGTGATGTCAGCAATGGGAATTGATGAGGCTTCACTCACAGCATGTCTCTAAGGAAAGAAAAGGAAAAGATTTTCAGTAAATCCCTGTAGTTGAAAAAAAAAAAAAACTTTTTTCTCTTGGAAGAAATAGTATGTTTATAGCATGTTATCATCGCTGTTATGATTTGAACATATTAACATATTAAGGATATTGGATTATTTAACCCTTATTAATACTATTTAAACTATCCCCACCTTATGTACTAATCTGAATAACAAGCACCAAACCTCTTTGAAGCTTGCTTTCAACACCATGAGTAAAATTAGAATAATTCTATAAAGCAGATTAGAACTTTGGCAAAGCAACACTACATACACACCACTACATTTTCAAGACGTGTTTGTGTATTTCACAAAGGTTACATTACACTTTTTTCCCCGATAAAAATGCTTCCTTGTGTTCGTTAAATCATTATTCTATAACAGATGTTGCCATAGCTTTAATTACTTTAGTCTACATTAGGAAGTTAGCTTCTGATTGCAAATGAATATATCTACAATTGAGGGAATGTTAATAAATATGAGCAGGAACTGGGTGAGCCATTCCGCAGCTCAGCATAGACATATTAAATACTAGAATCTCACTCAGAATTTTTTGTACAACTGACACTTACAGCAACCCATAGTTCTTGCTAGGTATTTGCTATGATGCTGAGGCCAGTTCCAAAATATTTGCCCTGGCAATCTAAACCAGCTAACAACCTATGCATCATCAAAAGGGTACTACAATCCCTGAAAAGAAAGAGCTCCACATTTTTACAATGGTGCTAAAACTGCCATTGTTCCACAATTGCACACATATACACAAAACTATTTATGAAGATGCATGATTGTTTTTAGCCTTGGTTTAAAACATAAATCCTGGACGGCCGGTGAGCTGGAGCTTTAAGGTTTGTGTCTTGCCCTACAGTGTTTCTAATGTTTCTCCTGCAGTCAAAAGCTCTGGTTCTAAGTTATTAGACCCCAAAGGCTGGTCAAATGTGTGGAAAACTATGAACAGAATGTTAAGCATTTGTAATAAAAAAAAAGGACATAACTGCTCAAGGGGATGCTGGTTATCTGTACACATGTTGAACACACTGGCCTTATTATCTTTGTCTTTAGGTATATTTTGTAATTTTTAGAAAAAGGACTATATAACTAGCCTGGGTGCCAGTCCGAACTTAGTCCCGCCCACAAGGTTTGAGTTCGGGGAAGTTCGGTCTGGCTCTGCTCCATAGTAGCGCGAGTATTAAAGCCCACTGTCAGGCGATCCAATCAAATTGTCAGGGCGGGCTTTATACGATGATGGACAGATGATCAAGAGTTACGTTATCAACCACGTGACCAATGCGCGCTTGGGTGACAACAATAATGGCTGCCGCTGGAGAGTTTGGGTGAGTAGATTCTGCTATTAGGTCTATTCTAGAAGATATCAACAGCAAATTAATTTTAAAAGAGGAACAGAGAAACGCGATCAAGTCTCATCTTCTTATTCTAGGCGTGAAACTGCACGCTTTGATTTTTGTGGACAACAACTATGCCTCGCTTAAGATACGTCACGCACTCCGTTGCTCTTATTGGTTGTAGGTCTATCCAATTGAGTGCAGAGGCATTTTTTTTCCTGGTTCGTTCAAAACACGCCCCATAATCACAGCTCTATGGAGCAGTATCAGACTCATATTCTGACTAGAATTGAGTCGGACTACGTCAGGCTACTATATAACTGTAAGCAAAGCTATATTCAGTCGTACATCCATCCATTATTGTAACCACTTATTCCCTAATGTGGTCGCGGGAAAACTGGAGCTCAGAGTTTAAGCGGGTCATTAAAAATCATTAAAAGTCATTTAATTATTATTTGTTTTAAATTAAGGCCTTAATTGGCATTACAATTTATTAAATGTGATTATGGTGGCATTTAAAATGCTTTATAAAAAAAAAAAAAAAAACTTTATAAAAACAATTTCATGATGTTTTATTCACGATATGTTTGCGGGGAACTGCTTTCAGCTGACCGTAAAGCCGTATGTTTGGAAAACAAGCTCGAGGCAGAGAAAAAGCTAAAGAATTGGAAAATGCAAACTTCAGCAAAAGTGGCTGGAAAACGAGGAATTTGGGGCTGTAGCCTGTCGACGGTAAAGATGACAAAAGATTTTACTGTGCTTTATATATATATATATATATATATATATATATATATATATATACACACACATAATTATATACACACACATATATATGAGAATTATAGGTACTTGTTGAGCATTAAAAGAGTATTAAAGGAGCATTAAAAAGCATTAAAATAGATTTACTTATTCCTGTATAAACCCTGGAAGCCTTTCCCAGTAGTCAAAGGGCGAGAGAAAGGGTAGTACACCCGGGATGGGCCACAAGTCCATTGCAGGGCCACACAGAGACGCACAAAGAGGAACAACCACACACACGCACGCTCACTCCTAAGGGCAATTTCAAATGTCCAACCAACAAAACATGCAGGTTTTTGGACTGTGGAAGAAACCCGGAGAAAACCAAAACATACAGGTAGAGAACATGCAAACTCCACACAGAAAGGTCCTGGTACCTCCGGGAACTGCGGTGAGGCATTGGTGCTAATATAATCTTCTGGTGATATAGCTTTCATTTAGTATTAGAGTAGAAGTAACTAAATCCTAATGCATGTCACTAATTATTGTGTTCTTGTTCATAATAATTTTTCTTTTAGAACTTATGTCATTTTTTTATTTTATACCTATAACCATACTAATGCTCTAAAAACCTGATATACTATTTTTGTTTTTATTTAAGAATTCAGACATTATAGTCAAGTTAAATTAGCATAACAACAAAATGTGAAGCTGGACATCATATCTTGTTCTAAGATTCTATACTGCTAGGTAGATTTTTCCTTTTTTTATTCAATTACCTTTATGACATTTAATAAAAAAATGATTTCATTTTTACTGCATTGTACTGTAATAAATTAATGGTTCTGGCAAATAAACGTGCCTCTTGTCTATGTTAAGTAATTGAGATTGAGTACAGATGAAATATGCACACCCTGCCATCAAGGGGGGACTTCACGTTGGTTATCTCAGTCCAAAGACCAAGGGCTGTGAAACTAATTTGGTGGAGAGGAACCATCATCGGTCCTGCTCACAAACAAGTATCAACACCAACCACTGTAACTGATTACAGAGTTGGCTAAGTCAAGATGAATACCTGAGATTTTGCATGCACAGATGTCATGGTGTGTTGACCAATGGGAGGCCGAGCCTGGGCTTACCCTTTGACTGTAGTTGTATAACTAGAGCAGCCAATGTTTGCTGTGAGACTGACTGAGTGAGATCTAATGCTCACATTTACAATTGGTTTACTAAGAGCAAGCAAGCTACCTTTTAGGTTTCTAGGTGTTGAAGCAGCAAGATTTTAGGTATCTGGTTTAACATGGCAGATACCTAGAGACCACTCTCCTATCTATGGTTTTTATGCAAAGGAAGTTGTGTAAATTTCCTAACGACAGTCATCATTTGGAAACATCTGGTAGCTCATGTTTGAAGATGGGTAGATGTTAATGGCTGTGCTGTTATGAGACTCTGGATTAATGTGACTAATAAGTGTGTCCTCCCCACTGCAACTGCAGAAAAGATCTGAGGTGGAGGTGAGAAGCCGTGAATTAATAGAAGTCATTGCTGTAGAATCTTAAGGTTCTGCCCATAGCATTTCATGCCCATACCATCTCACCATGTTTGGAAATGAAAGTTTATTTATATAGCACAATTCAAGACAATTGAAAGGGCTTTACATGAACTAAAGAATAAAACAGAAGGAAAATAAAAGCAGAATAGAAACCCAAGATTCATTGGTGAAACATGCTGGGTTTATATAAAATTAAAAACAACTTGTAATGTAAAGTAAAATTAAGTACATTTCTTGTTTTTAGTTGATATGAAAAATATCAATGGCAGAAAACGCTGTGACCAGGATGACAGGGGGAGTTCCAGAAGGGTCAGTTGGGGTCTGGGTGGTGGAGGTTGGTTGAATAATTGAGCTGCAGCGGTTTGTAGGTTCCATTCTAGCTCCTCGAAAATACGGTATTCCTAGGGTGGCAAGGAGTGTGGAGTTTGGAAGAAGAATTTTCTATAATTGGGCAACTGCACTCACCCTCTTCCATGGCAGGCTGAGAGTTGCGATTGTGTCCATAGTATTTTTTAGGTTATGGAGAAAGTTTGATTCGGAGTCGTCCAGGCTGGGCTGATGATGATGAACAAAGAGGTCTACAAAGACAATTCACACAGCTGGGTTGCTCCATTGCCGTTCAGACAACCAAGGTAACAGCTTCCCAACAACCGCAAGCAAGCATTCAAAAGGTTTGAATCCCTCCAACGCCAATCTACCATCCCTGAACAATGGCACTACATGAACACCGAAGACAATCCAGCTGACCTGGCATCACAGTCGGTTTCAGCAGCAGGCCTCACACAGACGATGTGGTTCACTGGACCAACCTTCCAGCGCAAGCTGTCTATTCAGCCAGGACTAACTCAGTCATTCCGCTTAGTGTCACCGGTGTCCAATGCAGAGGTCCGTTCAGTTGTGAAGAGTTACATAGCTGACCTGCAAAAGAAGGTTCTCAGCACAGAGCGCTTTGAAAGGTTCTCCACATTCGACACTCTCCAACGAGCCATCGCTCTTCTGATTCATATAGCAAGATCCTTCAAAGCTCCGACGGACAAGTGTAAGGGATGGCATCACTGTGACTTACCTGGCTTGGTGGATGAGCTTTCCTAAACAAGAGAAATCATCATCAGAGCTGTTCAGAAGAATATGTTTGTGAAAGGATTTGAAGCTCTAGAGAGAGGAAAACAAGTTCAGTTGAACAGCTGCCTACGCTCCCTCAACCCGATCTTACAAGGTGACTTCCTCTGCCTTGGAGGCAGACTGAACAAAAGAACCCAGTCATTCTCCCAAAAGGACACCATGTGTCCTTGCTTCTTACCAGATACCATCATGCCCACGTAAAGCATCAGGGCCGTCATCTAACAGAAGGTGCTACACGAACTGCTGGGCTTCACCTGTCACAGACTTAGAGGTCGGATGCAGGAACAACAAATGGCAGATTTGCCCCCAGAGCGCCTTACAG